TAATAATACAAGGATGGAATGATAACATAGTAAACATGTCTTTGAGGATTTAAATGATGTTACCTGCTCAACTCGTTCAGCAAATCCAATCTGATCATTCAGAGTGAAACCGGACCGTAATGTAGCCGTTTCAAACAGTAGTACAGCTGTATCAGTAGCTTTCTCACTGCTTTCGCCAGACTTCACGCGACGCAGTAATTCCTTGATAACAGGATGGCGTGGGTTAATTTCGAAAATTTTCTTCTGACTTGCGTAAAACTCCTTCAAAACATCTATGAGAATTATGCGGAAACAATTTTTTTTACTTTGTCCAGGATAATCAATGATTTCGGACAACCTGAGTTGGGTCGTAAGATTTCGAATGCGCTTGAGATTTCATGATCCGTTCCATGTTACCTGACCAACCGTAAGAAGATGCGATTAGTGCACATGGTGATTGTACCAAACGTTGCGAAACGAGTGCTTTCTCAATCTTATTCTAAGATCATGCAATAAATTACACATTTGAATTCAAAAAAGACGAAAATAACAAATCTACACACAAAGCTGCAGAATCAATGACAAAATCAACAAAAGCAAAAAAAAAAAAAAAAAAACTTAAATTTTAGCATTTACCGTTTTTACACTTGTTCGTATAGGCCGCTCTTTGGCAGATCATGGAATAGCTTAAGATTCCACACCTGTTATTTCAGTATACAGTGATAATCCACCGCACTGAACCTTTTGTTTGAGCTGACAATTCCAGTTAGCCATTACCAAAACAACGCTGAATCGGTACAGTCAAAACTAAACTTGCTGCCTACCTTCAGAGCCACATTTCTGAGCCAATCCGTCAGCGGCTCAAATTCTTTTTCTAATTGTTCTTGCATTCCTTTACTTCTTTCACCGTCATCAATTTTCAGTCCTTCTTTAGCAGCATTCTGGAATTTCTTTCCGTCGAACTCCGGCATCGACTGGATGGTATATTCATCCACAGCTTCCACCAAATACAGTACCTCATATCCCTTCTTCAATAAACGTTCAACAAAAGGAGATGATTCCACCTGTAAAAAATAAAATTCAAACTATATCAACTGGATTTAGAAAATTTCCAACGTTAACCTACTACTGTTTTATTCATTTCCAGTGCCTCTGGAATTTTATTCAAGGAACTATTGATTATTTCACACACACACACACAAAAAAAAAAAAAAAAGTAACCTCTTCTCGTGAATTTCCAGCGACATAAAAAATCATTTCTTGCTTATCCTTCATTCGGCTCACATATTCAGCAAGTGAAGTCATTTTGTCCTGCAACAATGAAAATGTCATTTACTTAAACAAAAAGTGATTAACTTTTCATAAAACTTTTTTTGTTTCTGTCAAATAAGTCAGAAGATGTCGTAGAATGTATCAACTGCCAGATATTTTATTTGATTTCAAACTTGGGTTAAACTAACAAAGCGATGCGCAATGAAAGATATAATATGGTTATAAGTAATAAGGTATTATTAAAGGTTAACTCCAAACGTAGAAAGAATAACAAAGAATGACCAAAAAAGATGAAACCAAAGAATGAATGCCCAACGCATCTTTTCTGGTGGAATATCTGTTAGCTTATTATACCGACTCGAATGACAGTTGGGATCTAGGGGAGAGATTTGATTTATGAAAAACAGAGATTAATAACAGTTGGTCCTTCGTAGTAAGAAAGAGAATGTAATAAACTTAATCGCTTAACGATCTTGATTAGATTAAATGTAGATGCAAAAATGTTTGGTGACTGATTGATCAAACATCTGGCGAAGGATATTAGGATTCGAATATAAAATATATATAATATGATTATAAGTAATAAGGTATTATTTTTTACGACAGAAGAGCTCTTATTTAGGAATGGAGATATCCTAAGAAAATCCGAAAACATTACTTTTCCATTGGAAGAATAGAAACGCAGAAGTTTTGCAAGACGTGTTCTATTTGTGGGATCCTCCATGATGCCCAGCTTGATATTTGTGCTGTATTCTTTCCAAAAATCTTCAAAATCACTAGGTTCCATCTTCTTGAACATATCCAGTACTTTCCTGACAAGCTTCTTCCTGATGACCTCAAACAAAACTATCTTTCTAATTAAAGAATGTAAAAAAATCAATGGCTTTATATTGCTTTCCCCTTGTATTTACTTAACAGATTACCCAAACATACAATTCAAGCAAAAATACCTTCAAAAGTTTATGCTGTTGGAGGGTTTCACGGGAAACATTTAATGGTAAATCATCCGAATCTACTATACCACGGATGAAAGATAAATATTTCGGCATAATATCATGAAAATCATCAGTGATGAAAACACGACGCACATACAGTTTGATATTGTCTGTACCCTGAAGATAATGAAACTTTTTACACTAATAAAACTAAGAAAAGTAGCGTTCAGGGGGAGATTTAAAACTAAAGACAAATTCAAGACAATGAAAGAGATCCACTGTAAATAAAAAGTCATACCTTTCCATAATTCTGAAACATGTCGAATGGACTATGTCGAGGAACATAGAGAATGGATTTGAAGGTAACCTCCCCTTCAGCCGTAAAATGTACATAAGCAAGAGGATTTTCGTGATCCTGAAAATGGTGACGGTCAGCATGGTAGCAGAAATGCATCTTTGGGGAAAAACTACGACGGCTGAAGAATGAAGGAGATCAAACTACAAATGATTTAAAAAAAAAAAAATATGCCTTGAAAATCTGAGAAACAACTTCAAGTAACCGAAAGTAAACTAATATCAATAAAAATATGAGAAAGTTTTAGGAAGATAAATATTGCAGAGTTCATTTAATGAACCTTAGTAATGCTCTTGTAAAACTCTGTGTATTCTTCCGCTTCAACATCATCATTCTTTCGCATCCATATGGGCTTAATGTTGTTGATTTTTTCCCAATCCCACGTTGTTTTTTCGACTTTTTTGGTTTTCTGTTCTATTTTGTCCTCTTCAACTTTACCATCAGCATCTTCAGTCTTTTCGTCATTTACTTTTTCTACTTCTTCAATGGATTCATCAACTGTTTCTGTCTGAAAAATAGTGAACATAATCTTCTGAATACCAAAAAAAAAAAAAAAAAAAAAAAAAAGAAAAACAAAAATAAGATAAATAACCTTGGACTGCCACAAGTAGATATTAAAATTGATGAATTGACTATACTTTTCCACCAAGTTCTTCAGTGTATCGGCTTCTAAGAAGTCATAAGCCTCTTCCTTCAGATGCAATGTAACTTGTGTGCCACGCTTAAGAGTTGCACCCCGAGGATCTTTTGCAACTGTAAACCTACAAATTAGCAGAATTAAATAAATCCAATTTTATTCATTAAACAAATCCATGAAGAAAGGTAACAAACAATAATCATATATAACAAGTAAAACTACTCAAAATCAACAACAAAAAAGTGTAATCGACATAAGAACTTACGAAGAACTGTCAGATTCCCAAACGTACTGATCATCATCATTGTGTTTCGAAGTTACGACAACACGATCTGCAACAAGATAGGAAGAGTAGAAACCGACACCGAACTGTCCGATCATGTCCTGTTGTTGTTCTAATGATGTAGAAGAATCCAACAGCTTTGACAAGAACTCTGATGTTCCTGACCGTGCAATTGTACCCAAATTATTGATTAAGTCTGTTTTTGTCATTCCAATGCCAGTATCCGTCACATGCAATATGTGATTTTCTGGATCTGCCTGAAATTCGACCAAGAGATGCCGAAATGTTTTGAAAATTTATTCAAATACCCAATTGCCGAACAGCTAAACTGAAAAGCCATACCTTAATCCGAACTGAAAATTCATCAGTAGCAGAAAGAACCGATGGATCCGTCAATGATAACAACCGAATTTTGTCCAGTGCGTCCGAAGCATTTGATATCAACTCACGAAGGAAAATCTCTTTATTTCTATAACATAAATGCTTAACCAAATGTTAGTACGACCGACAAGTAAAGTTCCCCATAAATCGTTAATCAAATTAACAAGCATTCAACTCCAATCTAAATTTGGAAAAAATGACATATAAATTTGAACTAACTTATATAAAGAGTTAATAATCAGTTTCATCATACGATTTACTTCAGCCTGAAAACTGTGTTTCTCAGCCCGAATTCTTAACTCTTTCATTTCTGCAACAGAGAGCCCATCCAATTTAATTGCTTCTTCCTCCCTGAAACCGAATTTTCTTTTCACTATACAAATAGTATAACTACGAGAACAACACATACAGCCTATGCAAATATCAGAATTACAGACAATAAGATGTAAACCAGCCTCTGAATAACTTCCTCATCTGTTTTCGAACTGGTCTTAATTCTTCCAATATTTTCTTTCACTGTTGCTTCACTGTTTGACTCAACTTTGGCATTTACGCCCGTATTTGGAAAAAAAGCTGAAAAAAGACCAAACACGCAGCTTTTTGCTTAACTGACTTTTCAAGGTTTTAACTATTTCACTGTTTGATATTTAGTTGGCAGTAATATTCGAGCAGGGGGTTGAATGTTCTCGTTCCATTTGCTATGAAGATAAAATGAAAGCAAAAACACGGTTAAATTCAATGGTTCTAATGATGCTGCTATGAAACAAAGTTATAAATGGAAATATCTCAAACAACATACCGAAAACAAAAAAGACACCGATGAGGACAATGAGTCTTACGGCACAGTTGCTAGCCATAGAGGTAATACACAACGACCGTCCCTTGTTTGCAACAAGGAGGTCAAACGATGATCACAATGACAGCTACTCTAAAAAAGGACATTCATTAAAACTCTCGTCCTCGGATGTATACATCAAATGCAAAAGCGCTACGTATGTTCAGCTGCACCGAGGTAAAGAAATGTCTAAAGCACACACTTTTCAAAGAAATCGAAGAAAATTTCTAAACGTTGGTCTAATCAACTGACACATACACAACACGTACGCAAATGTACGCGCACACCGGCACCTAACATTACAATCACTCTATACAGTAAGGTCACCACCACTTTATACCAAATACCATCCAACCAACTAACCACCCTGCTCCGCCCACTCCCGAACTTTCTATGATTAAGCACAATTTGATTGGCCAGTCGGTTTCTATGGACGTGTATTTCTCTGATTTCACAGGGACACTATGAAAATTTAACGAACGTCCTTTTCGGTGATGCAACTTTACGGCGTACGCATGTGTAAACACGTCGTGCATTTCGTTAGAATCGCCTCGATGTTTGTCAGTTTTTTTCTTTTAACTTGATTTTGGTGAATCATTGATAAAATAAAATCTCACTTCAGTGTTCAGAAGTTAATAGTAATAACGGTGAATTTAATTTATGTTTGGTGGAATAATGCATGCTTTTTTGTCTTTGATATCGTCAGTGACGTCCATCAAAAATCATTGACCTACAATTTCTATACCATAAGTGTCAAAGAGCGTTTCTTTAGTCGGATGTTTTTTTAGATGCAAAACACCGGACTGTTTGACTGTTTGATTATCCTTTGCTGAGCGTTGACCAGTCTCAAACTTTCATGAACAAGTGCCTGAGACATACTGTTATGTTTAACATTTGCCTGGTTTAGCTGAGGTAGCTCATTTTAGCGGCTTTCCATAATATTAAAATACGTCTTTATAATCTCTGAAGTTCTTTTTTTTCGTCTTGAATTTTTCCTTGCAATACTGTTTCCTTAGATGTACTTAGCTGAAGGATGTGCTGAAAAAGAAATGAGAGTCAAAACGCTGGTTGACAGCTGCTAATGGCGGAACTGAGGATGAGAAGTAGGAATAACCAAAGGTAAGAATAGCCGTCGATTTCTCCATTTGTCAGCTAGCATTAGTAGCAATTAAAGCTGTATGTCAAAGCATACATACTGAATTAAGCTGACATCCTCCTCAAATTATGCAAAGAGCAAAGAGACTTGCGCTCGTTAACACTTATGTTAATAATTAGAATTAGTGAAATGAGAACCGCACATATGTATATTGCTAAACACAGTGGAGTTCAGCAGCACTGACAGTTCTGTTCCTTGGAGACATTTTCCGATGATTTTTCTCTCAGGCTGATGAACGCCTGTGCAGGTAAAATGATGAGACTACATTTAATGCAGTGGATTTGGATTTTGAAATGCGAACAGAAATGGAGTGCCGAAGTGCTGAGAAAATCTAGTATTGAGACTGGCATAAATATTTCAACTACAAATTTGATTTACATCTCATTTCTGAATCAAATTATGTGTTAGAAATATTAAATGCATTGTTGCGAGCTTATTTTTTTGCGCTGTTTCAGTCCCGACAGGTTTAGTTGAGTTTGCTTGTTTAAATTAAGAAGGAATAACTTATATAATGAACATTTTGGAAATTTCCCATATATAAGTAAAATATATGCTCTAAGAAAAAGAAAGATATTAGCACATTCACGATTTCTGGATGTATTTTCAGTGATTCCATGCCAGTATTGATTTTTATATGATGTTCGTAAATGAGAGTTGAATGGGTAACTTGCTGGCATGTTTTGAATGAAGCCAGTCTATTACAAATATGATGATAGGGTGAAACTAATTTATCACAAACTCCAAACCTCTATCATTCAAGACAATTACGAACTTCATAGCATTCTAACCTGTCGGTGGTGGTTGTCCTGTCTTTTTTATATAGAGGTTAAATATATACAGATGAATCGCTGATTTGCTATTTTGATTAGTGTTTAATGTTTGAAAGCCTCCCATTTTGTACTTTTATAAGATCCAAAAAGTGATTGATTCCTCGCTGTGCTGAGATGCGTTAAGTCTCCCGTGATTAGGTTCATACCTGCTGTCCAGCTTGTTCGTCTTAAACGTTTTTAGTTGATGACGAATATTGCATTTTCTCAGAAAATTATTTAAGGTTGCTGTGTTATAAGAAAGAATGTTCGAGATAGTTCATTCGAATTCTATCTGATACGATTTATTCATTAAATTACCATATTATTGGTGATGTACTTTTCAGTTCGGAAGTCGCACGATGGCGGAAGCGACGACATTACCATCTGCCAATAACATAATTTCTAGTGTTTCCAATAGTACCATCACTTTCACAGTGAAAGAACAGGTTAGAAGCTCAATCTTTCGATTGAAATTATTTTATTGCAAAAGCAATATTTACTTTAGCTCTCATGACGAAGAACAGTGAATTGAGGATTGGAACTGATAAATACGCATCTCATTTTTCGCTATATTTCATTAACTGCTGACTTTTGAATATGATCTTATAATTATTATGAAATGGAGAGTTTCATTAGGTTCTTTTTCTATGTTTGCGACCTGAAACCATTGTGTCGAATCATTAACTAGTTGCTTAGGGAAATTTTTAACTGGGTTTGTGTACGCAGCACCTACAGGCTATGTGAATAAACCACCTTTCGAGAAACGTGGGAAATAGTTCTATTCAAATTGGATTTCCTTAATTTTGAGATTTTCTTTTTTGTCTTTAGTTATAGCTCGTTCGCTTGAGCTTTCCCGGAATGCATATAACAATATAATGCAATGTGAGGTATACATGATATCTCAAGGGAACCCATTCAAAATGTTATTCACTATATTTAGTTCATCTTTCAGATAACAGCTTATGGTTCCATATATGGTATGGCACTGTTCTGTATTGTTATCGGTAGCATTCGCTCTCTTTATTTTGTGCAAAAGCATATGCGTAAAAAGCGACTCATAGAAACTTCGATAACAGTAAACGAAGCTAAAAAGTTTCCGTTAACAGCATCTTGCGTTCTATTTGGGCTTTATATTTTTTTCGGGTATGTGTATTTCATCTTATATTAAATGTGTAAGGAACAATAGTTTGAAAACCCTATTGTAATAATTTAAATAAAAGAATGTATGTAAACATGCTATGGTTATTCATCTCCCACGGGAAGATGGTTAGGATTCTGTGGGTGAATGAAGTCAGACATCATGTGATCCACACTGAAAATTTTTAGCAGGTAATATATACTTTATTTTTATTAATTTTATGCCACTGACATTCTCTTTTTGAGAATGAAATATCAGGTCACTGAAGTTAGGACCTAATCCGTCTATTAATTTTTCCAGTAATGATTAGGAAGAATTCTAACCACTACGCAGATAAAATTTATACAAATTTTCACTTGAATTTTAAGATGCGATGCTGAATGCCGCCTGAGAATCTATTCAACAGTAAACAATTATTTGCCACCAGAACTTTCAAAGCGTCTTGCAATATTCCCCTTGCTGACTAATGCTACAGGTATCTCGGTGGCAATAGAAGGAGACTCTTCTAGAACGTTGTTGCAAAAGGCATTACATTTCTTGCCTCTCATCAACCAAGTCAATGTAATGTATTTGTTGTTGATGTTGCTGTGTTGGGAAGGTAACATTAAACTTTAAAATACATTTAAATTGTAAAGAAAGATTGGATTTTTAGACTGTTGAGTTTTAAATCTTGAATTTGAATGCTTTTTTAACTTAACATGTTGGCTGTGATGGTGCTATTATTCAGGATGTGTTGCTCTCGCTGCAATTTTAAAGCCAATATTCTCATATGTTCTTCGTAAGCTTCCCATTGGAAATCATCAGCCAAAAATGAATTATCCATATTTTTGGTCACTGAAGAGAGGCAAGATAGAAATGGAAGAAGGTGACGTTGAACAAGCAGCTAATGATGATTTTGTAGGTAACATGTTTTTATTCTGAACAAGAGATTTCTGTTGTGAGAAATTTTATGAAAAGCATTGAAAATTGAACAGTACTCAAGTCATGTAAGCATGGCTACATGAAGATAGCAAACAGCGTGTTATGAGGAAGTTTTTATTATTTGTTGTGTCATGTGTATTTTCCGATTCATCTTGAGTTTCAGGAATATGTTCTCAAAGTTGAGTGGGATACTCACGACATTGTTGCCATACTTTGTTGCTTATGTGTGGGTGTATCACATCTTTACAGAAGGCACTGGATAACGAATAACATACTTGGTGTTGCTTTCTCGATTTACGGTATTGAAAGCATACATTTATGTAGTTTTAAGGTTGCTTTCCCGTTGTTCATATATGCTTCATGTAACCGGCTTTGTCGCAATGACTTTTTTTCCCTTCGTCTCGAATTTTTAGTTGTGCATTCTTGATTCCTGTCGCATATTTAAACACGAATATGTATTCTAGGCGGGAACAATGTTGTTGGCTGGACTTTTTATTTATGACGTTTTCTGGGTGTTCGCCACCGATGTGATGACCACAGTTGCTAAAGGCATCGATGCTCCATTACTGCTTCAATTCCCACAAGATATCTATCGTTATGGATTAAATAATGCTGGCAAACATGCAATGCTCGGTGAACGTTTAATAAAATTAAGAATATAGTTTAGGGATTTATTATCATTACTTCTCTTTGTTTTATTTAATTTCATAACTGCATGTCTTGTATATTTTACACTGTGTTAATCATTTTCAAAAAATCAGATCAAGTTCACCTGGAATTCTACCTGTATGCAAGCAAAATCGATGAAAGTACTTTTTATTCGTAATAATTTTCTGGAACGTAACTTGAAGATCAGGCTCCTGTTGTGATAGCAATAATTCATTGTTTGTAGGTTTGGGAGACATTGTAATACCAGGAATATTTATTGCTTTACTTCGACGATTTGATCACTACATTGGTTCGGGAGGTAGTTACAAGAAGCCGCGTCACTACTTTCTCATAACCACGGTGGCATACTGCTTTGGTTTGATGATTACAATGGGCGTGATGCATTTTTTCAAGGTAAAGCAATTTAACGTTCAAGTTATTTTGCTTGTTCATAAATCGATACAGTCAAGTATTTGCTCAGGATTAAACTTTATTGGAAGTTAACAGAGAACAATTCTGCTTATAATTTCAAAATTTGTAATTGTTTCTATGTGTTTTTAACTTATAATTTCGTTTCTCTTTCCTTTGTTAAGGATTCCTTTTTAGAATTCTTGATGTGTTGTTACTGTAGGTGTAAAAACTCTTAACTGCATACTTTCGAAAATGTAATAAAACTAATAAGGCACTGAACATTTTGTCATCTTATTGACATTTCAGGCAGCACAGCCGGCATTGCTTTATTTAGTTCCAGCATGTGTATTAGTCCCGCTTTCGGTTGCTGGTATCCGTGGTGAAGCATATGAAATGCTTAGTTATTGTGAAGAGCATCTAATCGAGAAAAAACACTCGAAAAAATCAAAGGAT